TCCAATGCCTGCTCCAGAAGAAATACTGAGATAACAATGTTTTCTAATCCATGAAGCCTTTCTTCCTGGAACAGCCAATGGAATGTATCGTCTTTTCAAAGGAAAAGAACTTTTATTTTTATTAAAGTAGAATAAATGAATTTTGAGTATCATAGTTCTGAAAGTTGTACTGAGAAGTAAGATCATCATGGCTTTATCTTTCAGTGCATCTTCAGCACTTCATGCAGAATGGCATTGCATCATCTCAGTCAAATTATAGGCAAACCACACTCAATTTCATTCCTAAAACTTGCTTAGCTAAGTCCATTTTTCTGCTGCAGTAAACATCACAGCATCTTCTCTACCCAGCCTCACCAACCTGAAGTAATTTTCAAATCTCGCTATAAAATTAACCAGAGTCAAAACCCTATAATCTCTGCCATCACTGAAATGTTCCCTTTTTGGGGACAGAAGCTTACACATCCTACCCTGTATTCCTTATCTGTGTATATCCTCCCCAGTCACCTGGATCCCACCTGGAGTTGGCTCACAAAGCAGGATTTGTAAAAAAGTTCACGCCTTTTTCTTCAGTCCTTGTTTCTCAGGTAAACTCAAGGAAAGCTCCTTCAGCACTAACCAAACCAGTGTTGTGGGGAAGGTCTGAGCACAGAGAGGAACATGCAAAGAGCTCCTCTGTGGCCCGGAGCAGCATCAGAACCAGGAATTCTGTGTGTGCCCAATTAGAGCAAGTGATAGAAGAATATTGCACAAGGCAAGCTGTGCACTGGAGAAAACTCCAGACACAAAACTGTGCTACACCAATTATTCCATCTCATAATAAACATATTTACCTTCATAAAATGTGCTTTATTCTGTGGGACCCAAAGCAATAAGACTCCTTGTGATCAACGACCGGTCCCTGGACACAGAGGCCACTTAAAAACCTCTCTCAGCAGGTTCATCTTTCCTGTTCCCTGCCAGCTCTTTCCTGTGTATCACAATAAGCTGCACATTTGCACTTCTGGGGGACTGATTTTACTTTATAGGCTCTGCATCTGTCATGCATTTTCATCTGAAAATATTCCTCCTTGCAGCTCACCAGTAACTTTCAGCACATTTCCATCCATTTCCCTCGGCAGGAAGGCAGGAAAAGGGAAAAAGAGAGAATTTTCACCATCATCCTGTTCTAATAGTTTCAAATCCATCTCTAGCACTTCATGCTAGCAGGTGATTTGTGTTTCACTGCAGTCTCCAGGGATTTCAGAAACGTATCTAAACTTATCCTCAACATCTCTCACTGTTTTGAGGAGTAAAACCAACATGAGTTTTATAAAAAGAAGAGATATGGCCAAATTAATCAACTTGGCCAACAGCTACTGCTGAAGTTTCTGGTGGAGACAGAAAATGAACTGGAAGTAAAGCAAATCCAAACCAATGTCCTAGAGCCTTAATTCAGACTTGTTAACTAAAAAAGTCACATTTCAGACACCGGTTTTTCCTTGTGAAAAGCAGGGGTGAACCTGCCCGTGGAATGAGAGCTTGAGCACACAGATCACAAGGGCCCCAACACGTGCAGCCTCTTTGTCCCAACAATATTTTAGGAATACTGGGAAGATTTGCAATGTGAATGGGAAGTGACAGTCAAATAAATTCCTTAGAAACTGAGGATCATGATTCTCCCACCTAGGAAACCATAATTAAATACATCAAGCTGGCTCTCTGAACTGAAAATGTCCATCTAGCTGCACATCATAGAAAATCTATATTATCCAGGATGAGACACAAATCAGATATGACAGAAAACTGCTGAGTCTGAATATGTTATCTTACAGTTATTACAGCTCTGTCAGCTCTCATAGAATCAAAAAAGTTTGGGTTGGGAGAGACCTTAAAGATCACCTTGTTCCAACCCTCTGCCATTGAGGGACTTGGGAAATTCAAAGTGCAGATGCTCAGAAGTAGAAGGAAAATTACATGAATCATCTTCCTGTTGAAAGTCCTCACAAAATGCTTTTACCTACTGACATTTAATGAAGAGCATCTGCTCAAGCATTTCTTTTTTTCAAGAAGTACTGGCCTTAAAACACGTATAAAGAAACTCCAAAATACTACAAATACGTCACGCTCACTATAAGGAAAAACACTTATTTCCTGAGCAAACCAGTCAAATAGAAAATTAAGGGAACTGACTGCAGGTGAATGAGTTTGAAAGCCACATCAAATATTTAACTTTTTCCACAAACTGCAGAAAATGCCCATAACTGCCACTCTCACACATCTGCACTCCTCCAAAATCCCCACTGTCCTTTGCTGCATGGTTTTCCACTTCATGCAATTCCCCAGAATCTCCATTTATCCTTACCAGCTGCACTCCTCTACCCACAGCTTCAGTCATTAGACTGAAATATGAACCAAGAAATGTGTTTGACTCTCTTGAAGAAATCAGGAAGGCAGAGGCAGGAAAGATGGGAGAATAATTATAAAGAAAAACAATTTGTTGTCAAATTCCTCCTGCCTGGCAGTCTAACTGAGCTGTGTGTGCATTTCTAGGAACTCAAACCCACAGTCCTCAGGTTGGAAAACCAGTTCCATTGTTGTTTGAAGGGGCAGGATTTGGCCTTGGGTCTTTTCCAAGCAATTCATTAATTACAGGTACACTGGAGCAAAACTAAGTTTCCACTGAAGAGTAACTGCCACCATTAAGAGATGTGTGCACAAAGCAGGGAGAGACTTTAAAAGGCAAGATTTGCTTTAACAGTATCAGCCAAGCCTAAAAGTCACAAATGCAGCAATATCAGTCAGATTGACATCCTCGAAACGTGGAAAAGCAAAGCTTGAAATGTCCTCATGCATCAGGAATGGGAAGGGATGGGGAGGAAGAGGCTGCAGAGCTGGATGTGAGGCCGTGGAACCACAGCACACATTGAACCCCAGGAAATTCCTGCTGCCCAAACTGTTACTGTTATTACAAGACATCAATTCAAAACTCACTTATGCTTTTTGTTATGAGTGACTGAAGTTAAATTAATACATTGAAAGCATTTCTATAAAATGGAACCTCAGGATTTTTCATACTTTGCTCTCTGTGAAATAATGAGCAAAACAAGGCCTGTAAATTGCTGTGCCAGAAAAGAGTGAGGAATTAGTTCCTGGGCAAGGGAAAATGTTATTTAAACCGAGTAATTGGCAATGTTACACTGATTTGTTAACTCAAGCACAGACACCTATAACTCATTGAAATTCACCAGTCTGGGTTTTCAATCCAAATATTTGAGCATTCCTACCCATGTATTTTCTACTTCAGCTTGATTTAATATAAATAACAGCATCAAAACTTTCATTATGATTTGTCTGAACTCCAGATTATTGGATGCCAAGGAAGCTGAAAACCAACAGAGTTAAAATAGCAATTTGCAAATTAAGAATGCAGGAATCTCACTCACATGCCTCTGCAGCCAAAGGAGAGAGCTCTCATAAAACCCTTAAGGGCTTTTTACTTGTATTTAAAACACAAAGGATTAGCTTTCTAAAGCTTCTTTCTGAATTTAATTGGGCAAGTATAAGTTTCAAAGTAGTCCATCTGCCTGGAGCACAGCAGCTGTGGTGGGAAGTGGAGAATGCTACTGCAATATTTGGATAAATTCTCAAACAAAACTGTAAAAAGTCTCCAGTAATTAGTGGATGATATGAGAATTCAGAACTTGGCAGTGGAATGTTATTTGCAGAAACTGTTGGACTTGTTTATTGTGATACTTGTTTCCAATGCACAAACACTGCAGTGATTTCAGTACTTAATTCTTGCATATCATCAAAGTAAAATTTGGTGTTAATGCACATATTGATTCCCTCAATATTTAATGTGACATTTCTCTCCGCGGAGAAATAATCCAACACTCATTTTCTTCTAAAACTTTATAATAGAATAATATCACATTACTACTTTGCTTAAATTATATTACAGTGCCTAAATGTTACATGATGCTCCAGAACAGTTTGCTATATCCTGTAACAAGATCTTTCCCACTGCACCCATCTCATCAGTTCTCCTAAATTAAATATGGTAGAGTCTGTTTAATGCTTAAAACCTTAAATAAAAGGTTCTGAGCTAATGGAAGTGCTAAGGCTAATGAAACGACCAGTGAATTAACAGGGAACAGAGTTAATGGTAAATTAGCACTATGTTGAGAATTTAGCCCCAACCTTGAAAATCACTGTAATCCTGGAACCGAACTCTGTTGGATTCTTAAAAATCTCATAGAATATATCCCATATTTTGCATAAATTTCTCCTCTTATCCCTATTCTGTTCTGGCAACCAGATTCAGATTTAGTTTAACTTATTAAAAATACAGGAAAAATATTTGATATTCAGGTACATCCCACGTGTGAGTTCTGAAAGTGAGCTGTTAAAATCTGCTACTGGTCCAGTACTACTCATTGCACATCCTGAACCAGGGCTCAGACTCTTCTAGAATGATTGGGGATAGAAGAATTCACATTTCTGAGGAAGTCTATCACACATGTAATACATAGTCACTGTGACTATGTTACTGTCCTGACTGATTTTCAGAAATGGAAGATTTAGTGGCCATTCAAAATATTCAACATTTGTTTTTCCATGACGAGCCCTGGCCAAATGTGCAAACCAGAGCTGTCTAGCCCAGTCTCCTGCACACAAACTGAGTATATTGGTACATGTATGTGTTTGATTTTTCATCCATAACAGGATTAAATGGCCATTTTCAAATCTAAGTTTTAAAATCTGTATCTGAGGTCAGATTCAGGCCTGTGATATTTTATATCCGTTGGATAAAAATATATAAATATTTTTTGTGCTTTGTATTGCATATGAAAAAAACTTTAGGTGCCTCAAAATTATAATACATTTTTCAGTTTCTATACAAGTATCTCATTCCCAAAGTTACAGAACCACTGCAGATGAAAATTTGTTGGGAGACAGCAGAAAAAAATTACCCTGTTTGCCAGTTTGTTCAGCTACAGCTGTTGTCTTTTAATTTTCAGGAAACATTTTCTGTTGTTCTGCATTTGCTGGTTATTTGGTCTGGACCTCTCTTCTGATGCCAAAGTATTCACAGAATTGAACTGACAGAACTGAACCAGCCCCTTGGATATGATTGGCCTTGTATTTGCAAGAACTGCAGTAGCTACACATCAATAACTTCTCCCACTGAACCCCACTGGATGCTGGATTTTCCCCTGGTCAGAAGTGGTTACATTTTGTTTAACTGTTTGAGAAGATTAGTTTCAACTGGAACATTAAAAAGATGGCTGAAGAAGAAAAACTATCTCTAAAGAAAGCACTTCAGTTTGGTATAAAGGGATATATTCCAGCAGTAAATCTATGCATCAGAAATGAAAATGCCCCCCAAAGTTATTATGCTTCTTGTTTAGACAACATGCAAATAAAGCATATCTGACTGGTCCATCATAAAAAAGCTGGATCACTAATGGAGAGCTGCTGCCAAACAAGAAACACCAGGAAAGCCATAGACTCAACCTTACCTTTAAATTAGTTAACCATAAGTGTAACAGCCTATTGCAGCTTTGTAATACAAAGATCATGTTAGCTTCAGACACCAGGATTTCTGCATTCCCTGGCTACAAGAAATCTTTCCGTAAATTTTCTATTTAATTTCTTTATCTGAGTGTTTGGTCTAATCAGCAATCAAATTTGAACGAAGATCCCTAAGGAGAGCACGTCAGTGAAAAGTATACGGGATAACAAAGAGCAGAATGATCAGCCCCAGGATTAAAGTGTTAATTCAAATCTTGGGAACGATCTTAACATGCGGGTCAAATGACAAATGAAATGGGTCGCAAGGAAACACGTTACTTACAGACTCTAAACTGTGATTCAATGGCCCAGCAAACCATGAAAATGCGCCCAGTGCTCCTGAAAAGGAACAGCCTAGACTCTGCAGACTTCCTGAGGCACCCCCAGCACCGCAGGACCAAATCCCAGCAAGTGCGGTTCAAGGATGATGGGGTAAGCACCAAGGCAGAGCTGGAGGCTCATCCTGCCCGAGACGTGGCTTTTCCAACTGGAAAACCAGAGATCTTTAGGGATCACGATTTTTTGCTAACTCGCTCTCCAACTTTTCCAACAAGGGCTCAGAAGGGGCTTCGGAATATCGCCATACAAACATCTCCCAGCCTCAGGAAACACTGCCCGGTTTTTAAGAGGAAGAAGCTGACAGTAAGTAAATCATTAACAGAGATGCCAACAGAGCCTGCACATCCCATCCAGCTAAATGGCAGCCTCTGTGAACAGGACATCATGTCTGCAGATCTCTGTTACCTGAGGATAACAAACCATGTGGAGGACGGATGCAGGAACAGTGAGGGGGACGGGCAGTTGAGTCAAAGAGCACCAAAAGCACAAAGCAACGGGCCCATCTACTCAGATGATTCCTCAGCGTCAGAGAAGACAACTGCGTCCACACAGGTGCCTGAATACATACACGTGAGCTTTCCACAGGACAGAAATGTTTCCATGGATGCACCAGACACAGCCATGGATCCAAGTCATTCCCTGCACTCCTCTACTGTCACCCACGGCACTGAAAGCAATGAGAACAGCACACTGTCCTCTGAGCCTGAAAGAGCAGAGCCTTGCCTAAACAATTCTGCCAACTGCAGGGAATGTGATCCCCATCCTGCTGCTTGGGAAGTGGGGAAAAGTGATTCTGTAGCCAGCAGAGATGCCAGCAGCAAGGAAAGCGCTCCATTGTCACCTCCATCAAATCACAGCTCATCTCCCTGTTCCCTCAGAGACTGTCACCAGGCAGGAGAGCACAAACCAGATTCCAGCTGTGTGACATTACCAGGTGATCACACACCCACGGCAGCGACCAGCAGTGACCCACCAAAACCTGCTCTGGCATGTGAGCCTGAAATCCAGAAGAATTCCAGCCAGTCAGATGCTGCCCAGTGTAACAGCTGTTCAGAAGGATTTCACACCAAGTCTTCTCCGCCAAGGAATGAAATCAAACCGCAAACCAACCAAGAGATTAGTGAAATAAATCAAATTCACTTGGCACATGGCGAACTCTGTGCCCTCCAAGGCAGGCTGCAGTCTGTAGAGGAATCCTTGCAGTCCAACCAGGAGAAGATTAAAGTCCTTTTGAATGTAATCCAAGACCTGGAAAAATCCAGAGCACTGAGTGAAGGGTATGGTGCATTTTTAATATTAGTAATTCATTAGAAGTGTAAAGTAGATGTTAGCATTCTTTTAACCTTTGCTCCTGAAAAATATACCTCTTCTGATGTTTAAAGATGAGTTTGCAGAAAAGGCATCTTACACCCTTTTTATGGTAATTGGGCCTCAACAGAGAAAAAAGTCTCTTAATAGTTTGGCTTTAGCTGCCACTGCCTTTACTAATTTCAGTGAGACACAGCTTAACAACTCCCTTTCTCATTTAGATTGATGGTGTTTGATATGAAGCCACTGACACCTGAAAATTATCAGTCTCCAGCTGACTAAAATCTGAATGCAGGAGAACATCAAAGCCCAAGAGTCCAATGTACTCCAGCAGTGTAACCCGTGGCAAAGTCAGACACACACTTAGCACCCAGGCAGCCCTAGAGCTGACACAGTTGATATCACAAAAGCCACTCTCCTGCTCTGTAAATCATTACTATAAATCATTACTGCCTCCAAAAACAAGCAGAAGGAATAGTGGTTAGAGAACAGCATCTGCTGTTTGGGACCACACTGCTGGTTATGTTTCATGACACCACCAACAGCAGAGCTGCTTCAAGGGAATGCCTTGGGAATAGGGGAAGCCACAATGCCAAGTGAACTTGGAGAGATTCAGTGGGTCAGGAAGATTTCATGGGAAGCAGAGGGAGGTGCTTGAAAAGGATTAGAACTAAGGACACAGAGGGAGTAAAGACTCTTGGGAAGAACTCACTTCAGAATCTCAGATTTCAGAACTCTGCTTTCTGCAGCTCAGTGATAATGAGTGACCTGTATTTATGTCACTAGCTAAGGCTGCCAGCAGTATTTATACACTTATTTATGCATTATAAATAACAGTAATACTATAAATCCAACTAAGGTCTAAAGAATGGACACCTTCATAGGTTAAAATAGAATTCTAAATATTTCTATACTCAAACCAGGTTTCAGAATATCCTAATCAGGCTTTCCACACCATTAACAGCATCTCCCACTTACAGTAAATGCAACTTGACAGTTCTGTCTGGTTATAATGTAGTATATCCATCAAATAACTTATCTTTGAAAAACTCGTAGATAAATCTGTCAAAGTATTAAGATAATAAAGGTTCCATTTTAATTTATTTTTTAAAGATAAAACAACATGAAGTCTATGTTATCACGAATAATTTTATCCTCAGCACAGGCAGCTTAGGCATGTAGAATAATCACTTATGCCCAACTGCTTTGTGAATCAAACAGCACCCTCAATTTTAAAATCAGATCATGTGTATCAATAGTATTTACTGATTAAAATTAATGAATAAATCAGATAATATTCCACATTTCCACCAACTGTGCAAACATCACAGGAAGGCTGCACTGAGGGTTTTGGGTTCAAGTCGTATAGAAATAGCACAGAGCACAACCCTGCCTTGTTCACATCACCCAGCATTAGGTCTTTGCATTTGTTCTCATGTGCCCCAACTTTCTTACAACTTTTGCAGAAAAACAAAGAAAAATCCATTTGGAAGAATTCCTTCCTTTACAAAGTATTTTAGTTGGTAATTAAAGTTAACTTCTTCCATTTGTGATGAATAACTATCCAATTCACACTCCAAATATGAATTTACACTCACTAAAAAATTTAAAATAATAGAAATCTAGTTAGCATGTTGTTTTACTCCATACAGATTACCTTTTTTATCTGGAAACATTAACCACTAATGCCCACCTGGCTGTTAAAGTGAAAACCCTTCTATTAGCTTCCACTGGGCCCACATAAATTGTTATTCCATACAAAATCTTCTCCCATACAGCTCAGTTCCAGCTATCCTCTCCCTGAAGCTTGTTCCATATGATTTTCTACCAACAACTTTCTAACAACACAACAGACAAAATCAAATACTGAAAGCAAAAATGCAAAGAACATTTATAGCACCCCAGAACCCAAAAGTTCAGGTAAGAGGCAAGATTTGAGGCAGGGACCCAAGTCTGTGTCCAGCTTAAGCAATCACTTCTCTATTGTATTCTTCATCCAACTACCACCTGGAGTGTGCTTCCTTAAGAAATGACAGGAAAGAATCCCCCCACCTTCTCCCCTACATAGAGTTCTGGATGAGAGACTGCACAAGTTCCAATTACAAATCCAGGTTTCCATTTGAAAATCTGACTATAGCAAAGATTAATTTGCAGGGAAGCACAGTCAAATTATCCAGCAACATTTATAATCCATTTCTTTTAAGTTACCACAAGGTTGAAAGGAAAAAATCTGTGAAATACCTTGAAATTTAACACTGGGATTCAATGAGAAGCTTCAATCCATCTTGCCAGAATCATCCAGCAGTGACAGTGAACATTCCAAGTTGTATAGATGTATAGATGCACAGGGAGAACTTCCATTTTAATTCCAAAACAATCAGGAACTTATTTTGGTACCAACTGTTCTCTCCTAATCCAAATAAAACTTGTTAAATATGAGTTACTCATCCTTCAGACTAAATGAACCACCAAATTTGAACTGTTTCTAACAGTTTGATAAAACAACAGTTTGATAAAAATAATTCAGCTCCGGTTGGTGTTAAGTATAAAAATCCCTTTTCTTTTGTTCTCAACACTCCAAATTTATATGCTATGAGCAGTAGAAATCTGACTCAATAAGGAAACACAAGAAGAGGAAAGACTGGAAAGCATAAGGGCAAAGATCAGACTGATTCACCAAAACCATGGATTTTTAAACACTTTAAAGTGGGTTTGTAAGAAACAGTTGCACGTCTAAGTGTTTTCATAACAAATATTCATGCAAGAACCAACAAACAGAATCCTAAAACAGCCCGAGGTGGGAAAGATGCAAGACAAGAATCACGGGGTTTGTGTTTTTTAAAGCAACCTTCTAACTTAGAATTTGACACCAGAATTTTTAGTAAGGATGATGGAAGTGGTGAATTTTTGTTCATAAAAGGTTCAGAGACCTGTTGCTGTATCCATAAATACACTTTACACGAGTTGCTGTCTCTTACAGGCGTAACTTCTACCACACTGGGCAAGACCTGAACAACTGCAGCACCTGCCAGAACACCGCCTGCATCATCTACAGGTACTTCCCTCCTTCCCACAGTTCTGCATGGGCTGGATCTCCCTCCAGTTGAACAACACAATGTTTTGCTCGCAGCTATAAAATGCCTCAGCTATGACTAATCCAGTTTTTAACAGAACACCAAGTGGTGTGTATGAGGTATTTCTTTTTGTTTCCCAAGCAGAAAACAATTGATATTGGTGTTGGCTGAGAATTCGAATAGAAACTCCCCACTAAGGTTTCACAGCATTCTTACTTGTGCTTTGAAAACCTCTGATGCCATTTCTGACGATGAAATTCCTCTGTTTGTTGCATTTTTAAAGCTGGGATTTCTGTAACACATCTAAGATCTTGAAAAAGATAAACACTCAGCTCTCCAAATGCCAGTGAGCTACAGCTACAGTTCACAAAAATTAAACTCCCACACTTCTCACTTCTGTAGCTATTTGTTATTAATTTAAGAGAGTGCAATTTGACTAAAAAAAACGTTGCAGCACTGTGTCCTGGAAGCTGTACATGTTTCAAACACTACGTCTGTAAAAACACACTGTAAGAGCCTCCAGCTCCCCAGTTATCCACCCAAAACCAGCAGGTACGAAGTCTTGGTTGTACTCTGCATGTGGCTTGTCCACTCAGCAAGGGATTTTATAAGGCTTCCTCTAATTTATAAACACTATCTCATCTCTGCAGCCTCAGTTATGAGGCAGAGAACCCAAATCTTGGGTTACTTGACTATATTTACAAAAATAAATGGTAAGAGAATTTCTCTTTTAGGTTGAAACCTTTTCCTTTATTTCAAAGAGCATGGCAGACCATTATCTTTGCCAGTTTGCAAGCAATATAACTTTAATTTTTTTTAAGGGATACAAGGAATAGAAAACATGGAAGTGTTTTTCACACCACATCTTCTACATGAGCCAAATTTGTTAAAGAATTTAATAAACTGAACAAAGCACTGGAAACTGTTGTTCAACACCCAACTCAGCCAGGTACTGATGTCCTAAACCTCTGGCAATGAAATCCCAAAGTAACCAAGACATCATAAATTAAACACCACAACTCCTCTGAGACAAAGCTGTTCATCTTCTTCACAGCCCACTGGGAAGTAATTTCCACGGTGGAAGTAACGTGACTTATCCAAGAGCATAGAGTGCATCTGTATAAAAAGGAAGATCCAAGACAAAGCAGATTTCCTTTGCTTGGTCATCATCTCTGAACAAAAAAATCTCTGTGTATATGATTGGACTAGACACGAACAGGTCACTCTCTAGAAATTATGTACAAACTACCCTTTAGCACAGGCTGAAGAATAAACCATGCTGGTTATCTTGTGGTTTTAAGTTTCAATGCAGGAAAAGTCCTGAACAAGTGGCACAATTATCCAAAGAAAAGAGGAAATAAGAAAACACTGATGTGCCTTTTTTATTTCCTGGGTAGTTTGTAATGATAATGGTGTCTGAAGGTTTTGCAGGGCAATGATTAGTAGAACATGTAGAGAACACTGTTGCTCTAAAAAGTTTCTAGTTTTAAGAGAGAAACAGGAGACAGTGAGGGAACAACAGTTTTCACTTTACAGAAATGTTCCACAAGATGAGGTTATGAAAAAAGTATTCTGAGTGACTAACATTTGAATTTAGACAACATTCTAAGAAGAATTATCAGTGTTTGCCCTAGACAAACTCATGTAATTTTTTTATATTTTATGTAGCCTAAAGGTCCTTGCAAGTATTTTTCCCCTAACGCAGCGCCACTGTTTTCATTAATTATAGAATCAAATGTTTTATCTTGCTCCCAGTTTTCCTGCTCCTAAAGAACCCAGCTCTTCAGTGATGCAGGATGTGGGGTTGCTGTCACTGAACCATCTTTATCACACACATTTTAAGCAGTCCCTGAGTCAAACAATGCACTAATCTCATATAAATCCCAGTGTGGATTACACCGATCAGTAAAGTAATAAAGAGCTTTTCTGCCTAACAGTGACGGTATATTTGGCTTTATTAACTCCCCAGCAGGGATTCCAGACTTGGGATTTTCAATCTAGATCATGTAACACAAATGTTTGTTTATAATAAACAAATGCAAGTAGCAAACAAAACCAGTTATCTGGGCATCTCATGGACAGTATTAAATGAAGACTGAATCGACCTCTTGCCTCTGGAGATGATCTCTCCAACATGAAATTAAAAACTCTGAAGAAGGGCAGAAAATAGGACTAGGAGCAGATGTTACCTTTACACGTGCCAGAAACCCAACATTTAGTATTCATGACTACTGAAAAGTATTAAGTTGCAGCTTTAGCAATAAGCTGATAAAATGCCAGAGACACTGGTTTTATATCACTTTCTTCTACCTCTTTTATATTTATTATGTCTTGCTTCTTGTTCAGGATCATTCTCCCGCTTTTCTAAATCAGAATAATCCTACTGCTTTCTTTTTACCAGCTGAGTTGTATTATTTCATTTAAAAAACCCCAAACACATGAATTATAAGGAAACAAGCTTCTAGTTAAGCTTAAAGTATTATTTAACAATTTTTATGGATTTCTATATACATAAAAATACTCACAAAAAGTGTTCAGAATATACATATTTACTAACTTCACAGATTTCTTCTAATTGGTGCCAAAATCAATTCAGGGCCTTGAAGGGACATCCCAAAAAATCCTCAGATTGTGCTTGGATTACGAAAAATACCACTTTTTTACTCTCCCCCTGCCTCCTAAAACCTGCCCAGCAGACACAGCTGATAGAACCCACTCTCCTGGCCAGAAAAGATGATTGAAATAAAGAAAATACAGTCCTGCTTAATCACTGTCCACACTGACTCTTTTAACCTTACATTGATTTCTATGCACTCATCTGCTGTTATCTAATTAACATCCTGGCTCTCATTTGACATTAATAATAATTAGGGGTTTCAGTGGAGAAAATGAGTTCTACTTTCCTGTTAACTAACACCACTTATCTCAAAGACTTACATATTGGCTCACTTTCATATATTTTTGCTCCTAGCCTGTCTCCTAGTGGGAGACATTCACATTTAACACAGTTAAGCATGAGAGTTTTTAATTAATTCCAAGCATATGACTGTTAGATTATGGTATCAAAACCTGACCTTTGAGTAAAATGCGTTGAAAGGTCATTCTGGTACATTTTCATTTTTTCTCCCTTAATTTTTCTCCCATTGTTTCGGGCAAAATGCTGGAGTTGTTAAGTCACATAAAGTAAAACATTTCCCTTAAAAAAAAGAGTGAATTAATTTATTGTCAAAGCAGAAACCAAAACACGCTCGTGTTTTCACCATGTTCTGTTATTGAATAATGTCAAGTTATTCTGATGATATAAACATCCTTTCCAGGTGTTTTTAAAGAGGGAATTTCTCACTTACTAGCTTAAATCTCTTCATTTTTCCATAGTGTAGAATATGACTTCAGACAACAAGAAGGAAGATTTCACCAGATTTTGAAAACACTGGATGATGCAGAGCAAGATCCAGCTTCAGCTTCACCTCAGAAGCCACCACCTGATCCTCCAGCTCCGGAGAAAAAGGAGTTAAGGAGGAAAACAAAAAAGATGAAAAGAAAATGCTTTTGGTGGATTTGACTTCCTTATGCCTCCTTTTATATTTCAAGACACCAGAACAGAAAGAGCTCAGGAGTATAGGCCTGAAATGTGCTATTACAAAACCACAGAGGTAAAGAATGTTTAATTAGGGTATCTGAAAAATCAAAATAGTTGAATTTAGTTAAATTATCTCACCGAATAAAGGTGCATGAAGATACTATTTTCAAAAGAGAAAATGTTTCTTTCAAAAGGAAGCTCTCTCATTTTTTTCCAAGGACACTTTCATATGCTTTCTAAAGACATTTTTTTTCAACTTTCCAAAAATAGCAAGGTTCAAATCTCTACTTTAAAAAAAAAACCACATGGTAGATGAAGGTAAGCATGTCACACAGCCTTCGTTTCCTGTTTATAAACAACTTGGACTGGAAGGGAAGAACTTCATTGATCTTTGAACAAACCACACCATCAAGAACAAATTCAGGGAAACCTATGCTGCTCATACAAGTCTCTCCTCAAAGGAGATAATCATAATTATTCCACACCCCCACCGAAATATTTTTCTTGCTGTCATTCATCTAATATTGAACAACAACAGAAAAAGGAATTTTGGTTTAAGTTTTACTCTGCCCTTTTATTTGTTCATTATAAAAAGCCCCCATTCAGAAGTTTCAGCCACTCAAGAGATTTCTCTGGAGAGAACTGGGGAATCACAAAACAAGAGAAGATCGTGGTAACTCTGGTCTTAACCCCCTACTCAAGCAAGGTCAGATTAAGTGAATTTGAGTTTTGAGTCTCTGCAAAGACAAGAAGCCCAAACTCCTTGGGAGAGGCTGCTCCAGTTTTTATTCCTAACCTCCAGCACTCTGAGCTGTGCCCATCACATCTCGCTCTGGCCAAAAGCACCCTCAGGAAGAACAGGAGGGAGAACAAGATGGATAACAAGACCTCTCTCCTGAGCCTTCACCTCTTAAAGACTGAACAAACCCAATTTTCACTGCCTCTCCTCCCACGCTCCTGCTGCAGCCCACAGGCAGCTTGGCTCTCTGCCTCCAGTAATTTGATGTCTTTCCTCTACCTGGAAGCCTAAAACTGGACACGATCCCTCAGATGTCATCACACAATTGCTGGATAAAGAGGAATAACTATTTTGGCTCCTGTCTTACTAAAGCACCTGCCCAGTCTGTCTATTTAAGACTGTATCACTATATTAAAATATCCCAAGCTGTGTTTTTTTTGGCCTTAAGGTGTAAGTCGATACATGATACAAAATGGGACATAAAAAGAATATTTAATGAACTTATCCGTACTACACAAACAATTATATATGCTGAAAAGATTTTATCAAGTGTCAATACAGTGACTTCTTGCCTCCAAAAATAACGGATTTACCAGTCAGCACAGGGAATGCCAATGGAACCTAATTTAGGGCTGATTATACTATTATTTTACTCATGAGAACGTGGTCACCTTTCATATGGGAGGCAAAGGGGAAAAGGTTTCCCAAAGCAAGTTTAGTGGAATGTACTGCAGACCTTTTCTTAGTGACCCTGGTTCAGGGTATTCCATAGATTAACCCCTGCATCCTATTTTTCTAAGTCATACTGTATTAATTGTGCAATGTTAATTTAAAATGTCTGTACATTTTTTGTACACTTCTCTGTTCCTTGAATACTTAGGGTTAATTACACATTTGAAAACACATTAAAACCAATTTTTCACAGAAGAATTTTGTCTGGAAAAACTAATTTTATTTTTTTTTAATAGAACTAGTCTTTTAGAAGAAAGTATGCAATATGTCATGGCTTAATTTATCAAAATTTGAGGGGACTGACACTTTTAAAAAACAATTCCATGTTAAGTTCAGTGAGTACATAAATGAGAGGCATGAAATTATCATTATTGTAGAAGCTTTTCAGAAGGAAATTAATTTTTACCAGCAACAAAATGGATTTAGTGGGACAGAAAAGCTCTTCAATAATAGGTCGTGGGTACAACAAAGGTAAGAATTAAATTACTGCATCAGAACACATCATTATGTTACACTCAAGTACTCTATAACTGATATAATGAAGGATTTATTAGTGTCTAAGTTATTCTTGTGTATTAAAATAGCATTTTAAGACTAATATTCTCTGCGGTAAAGGTATAATAATAAGCAGTACCAACAGGTGTAACAGCAGTAAAACCAGAAGTTTTTTTCTGCAGTGAACTGATTTTTAAAAATTTATTATATGAAAGCAATCTTTTTGTATTTCTTTTTGTTAATAAGAACAAAAAAACCTCCTTTTAAGCTATTTGATTTTGGGTTTGCACACATAATGCATGTGATGCCTTCACTGTATCTTCAAAGGATCCAGATGATTTGAATTAAACAAACCCCAGCACTCTGGTTCACCAGAGAGTACCAACCAATTCCTGGGGGCAGGAAAACTCTGCAGGAACAGAGAGATTCGCTTTGGTTTAAGAGAGTGCCACCAAAGGAAGTTGCAAATAAGGCTCTAAGTCTTTCTTACAGCCTGAACAGGCATCAATACTCCTGGAAAACTGAACTACACTGATATAAATGCTCACAGGATTTATAATTTAATGTCTGAGCGTGATGGACTTCAGAACCGCGGGCGATTTTTAATCCTTAATCTCCCAAGTCAAAATTATCTTCTGTTTTCCAGATTCTCAAGTCGGTTGTTTTTCAGTTCCCTCTCCCTCGGGAAAGTCTGGATTACCCCCACAGGGATACGAAATTCCCTTTGTGCCGTCTGCACACGCAGCAGGAGGGAAGCACTGCAGGTATCCAGGGATTGGACCCTCAGCTCCCGCTGCTGCCGCAGGAGAACAGTCGTTTGTCTCTCTGCCTTCAGCTTTCAAACTCACCCTCTCCAAGACATCTGTTTTCCTCGGGAGGAAACATGAAATTCCAGTGCTGCTAAAGCACTCTCCTTCAGGAAGGTTGTCCTGGAGTTCTCTATTTCAAGACTTCAGAACAACAAGGGAGAATTTTTTTTTTTGTGTCAGCAGTAGCAGCAAGAGTCAAATTCTGAAATATGTATTAGATCTAAACTCAGGGGTTGTCTATAACACAGACAGAACTCCCTCATTCCTTTTCTCGAGGCTCTGATTACCATGAGATATTTTTATGAGTTTTCAGGAGTCAATTAATAATAAACAACTTTTTCTTTGGAAAAAGAAAAATTGAAAACTAGCAGGCATTTCATGGAATCCTACAGTAATTTCACTGAAAATAAAGTAAAAGTACTGCAGAAGTAAATTATCCCTACCAAAGAAAAAGCATCATATTTTCACAATCAAACCACACCTACTAAATGCCAGGAGTTATTATCCCTAGTCTGTCACACACAAAAGGCTTTCTACATAAAACTTTAAAGGGAACATTGGAACAAAAGACTATTTGTCACACTAAAAGGTAACAGTGGGGGGGTGTCATGGATGCATCAGCCAAGATCCATCAGCACAAAAGTAATGCTTGGTTACTGGTTTGTTTAGATTTAACATAGAAATTTGTATGTCCTAGCAACAAAATAACTAAAATTTAAGAGCTTTGTAACACTTAGTTGGAGAATCTTGGCTATATAAAAACGTAATGTGTAAGCATTGTTGTTTCCTCTTGTTGTTCAATATTTTTAAAATAGTTTAGGAATTAATTATCAATTCCCATAAGAAATAAAAAATTACCAGAGACACATTATCCAATTTATGATGTCAAGATTGGAAAAGCAATAGAAACTGGGAGACTGTTGGAAGATAAGAGTAGTGGCTACGAAAAACTTCTCTGATTTACAAAATCACAGTGTAATCCCTAAAACCGGCTCCCAGAATAGGAAAGAAATTTTAGGAATACAAACACATTACTAAGCAAAAATCTAGAAATACCCCACAAAACCCCCATTAGTCAATGAGAAACAAACCCAAACAAATCACAGCTACCTGACAGCACTTGACTAAAACATATTGTGGGGTTTCTGTAAAATATGTATTTAAATGACAACTAAAATATGCTATTTATAAAACATTGCACAGAACATGGTATATTCCAAAATTACTGTGTTAGAAATCGTTCTTTAAAAATTAAGAATGTATGGATAAAATACTGATTTCTCTCTCATATAACAGCAGTTCATGCAGGGCTTCTGACACTTTTGTGCACTACAGCTCTTTTGAAAAAGCCACAGTACTTAGTAGTCCTGCCAGCTTAGATACAAACCATCTTCCTAGGGAAATTTATTCTCTAATGTATGTTTTGTACATTTTCAGGCCCTTTAATGTGATGTTATCTTTTGCAATAAAATGAGATGTTTTATTAGGTTTCAGGAGTCAATTAATAATAAAAAAGGTTTAGGTTACAAAGGAGGTGAACAGCTGTTCTTTGGAAAAAGAAAAATGAATGGAAAACTGGTAGGCATTTATGGAATCATTCTGCAGCTTTTCCAGGTAGAGCAAGGATTTAAATTGGAATACTGAACAAAACATCTGTACCTTTTAGCTAGGCCATGAGTATATTTGAATATATGGGATTCTCCAGCCACAGCAGCTCTCCAAAGAGTTCCTCTGGTCATTATTTCCCCACAGAGGAAGCTCTAGAGTAGCTTTGCTTAACAGAGCACACAGTTTTCTTTTTGGCAAAGTCTTCATGTGCACAACAGTGTATGTAAATATTGTCTAAAAACCTCTCTGTGTGGCGTAGCTACACTTATTTCATCATCCTAAATTGACACTGTGAGCAGAATCAAGTTTGGAAGTACTAAAGGATTTATGATATTTCTGTTTACCTAATCAAGCCAAGACTGAAAACAAGTATTGTGTTCTCCGTGCTCTTATGTTTTACTTCCATAATTCCTGCACTAGGACTTCACTGCATCACAATGACCTTTAACTAAAGTCTAAATTCCATAAGATATTCAAGATAAAGCTTGAATAGCCATATTCAGACAGCAAACTCGTCCCTTTTCACAAGTTTAGAAGCACTTCTACAGCTAGAAACAGTCAAGGTTTTATGGATTTTTAAGTGTGAAAACAACCAAGCAGCTGTTAAAACCTTCAAATTCTAAAGCAGCACAATGAAGGCAAGAGTGGCACTTAAGTAAGTCTTCTCTGCAGCAGCTGCAAAGAGCCAAATTACTTCTCCACCACCACCACCTTCTCCTGAAGGGATTATTTACTTCTGAGCCCAACTCTTCCCAGTAATTAATGAACACAGCACAGGCAGTTACCAGCGAGGCAGCACCTTCCCTTTGCCTCCAACTGGCACTGGCAGCAAGAAAAGATCAAGGCAACTGTAGCCCAAAATCCTTTTAATGCCTTCTCTGCCAACAAGAGAGAAGATTGTGAAAAGGACACCTGAATATGAAAATTAACCTGCTTACCCCTGCCAAAATGTAAAAGCAACCTGAGGTGAATAAAATCCAATAATCTATCCAGCTCAAGGCATTTAAACTTGCAAGGAATTACAGGTCTTGTATATTGTCACCATTGTTTTTATCAGTATAACATAATATTAGCATTGCCTTCCACACTACTTTCATATTCTAGAAAATCACACTGCAGAAGACAAAAAAAAAGTACTTGCAATATTCACAAATGTAGTGACAGATTTAAGAATCTAAAGAGTGACCTTCTGTTCTCCTGGAAGTAACAGATTTATTCCCATTTGAGATCTCTCATACCCGTATAACATCAGCTACATATTCTGACTGTAGCTATTCCACATGTCCCACCTGTACCTGCCAAGTTCACCACTCTTTCAGCAACTTGAGCTCACCTACACATTCTGCAGGACATAATTCCTGACTATCTGCTTCATTTTTAAAAAATTAACCATTCGGGCTTTCAGCAAGTTTGACCCTCTCAAGATGTTTTAAAACAAACCTGAAAACTAACCCAGGGAACTAAAGCCAGTACATAGAGCCTGAAAAAAACCCTTATTTTGCCAGTTCTTTCTGAATGCAAAAGACTATTTTGTTCATTACAAACAATTTCTTCACGTGTGAAAGGCTTCTCTGTCGAGAGGTGCTGCCTCAGCTGTAGGAAACTCAGTAGTTTATTGGAATTCTGCTGAGAAAAACCTGTAAAATGCCCAATAAACACATATGCATAGGTGCTTATGAGCATAATTAGAAATAATTCAGAAATAATTCAGAAAACTGCATTTCAAAAGTCACACTGAATTTGTTCTTTTTAGGTTAAAACAGCTGAAGAAATTACAGTAGATGAGAGGGCAAAAAAAAAGGAACAGATTTTCCAAGCCATTTCAATTTACTGCAAGCAGCTTGTTTCCTAATGGTTTCCTAATGAGAAGGATCTTTTATGCAGGATCACTTCAGCTCTGTTTTGCTTCTTCCTGGGGTGTTTATGGGACCCAGAAATCCTCCTTAATAGATTGATTAAATCATCCATGACACTCAGATCATCCTTTCCTTGTGATACAGGAAACCTTTGCAAACACTGTAGGGAACTGAAGGGTTCACTGCTCTTCATTCCAAACCATTTGCTGTTGTGACCATGGATAAACGCCCGAGGGTTCCACACAAACAACAGACCAAGTCCTGATAAACAGCTGACACAATTCTGTGAGTTGCAGATGGACCAGCAGGGAGTTTGCAGCAACCACTGGCAAATATTTTCTTTGAAAAACTCAGTTATTAGGAGATTAATCATCAGGAGACTCACGCTCTGGCTGGCAATGACCTAAAACTGGTATTTTGG